AAGCAGATTTTGACATCAAATTTTGGGGTAAAAAAGTGCGTCTTATACACCGAAAAATACGGTACTTACCCAATCTTCTTTTTTTCTTGCTCTCAATTGTCAATGACAGTTAAGCCTAATTTTTTATAGTACTAATAGTAATGCACTTATTTTTATTTAATTAAATACTTCACCAAAGAATATAAACTAATAACATGCAAAAAGTAGACAAATTCCCTTACCTTACAAAATTACATTACAGCTTTCATTCTCCTATTATAATTGACACTGTGACTTGAAGAGTTTGTTTGGAATGTAAAAGAATGAAAGCTGTAATGTCGTATTATAATTGACACTGTGACTTGAAGATTTAAATTCCAAACAAACGCATTACAACTTTCATTCTTCTATCATAATTGACACTGTGACTTGAAGATTTACATTCCAAACAAACACATTACAGCTTTCATTCTCCTGTTATAATTGACACTGTGACTTGAAGATTTACATTCCAAACAAACACATTACAACTTTCATTTGCCTGTTGCATTCTTCATTGTGCCTCAAAACTTTATTGATTGATATTCAACCGAATTAGTGTATCAGGTGCAGACACTAAATTTTAAAATATGTCTGTTGTTGCTCTAGCTGGGCTGGCAAAATCTGTTAATGACTGAAATTATGTAAGCTGTCCTCATTTGGACATGGAATGGGTTTGGTTATATGAAGTGTGTTGATATAGTTTGCAGAAAATTTAAAAAAAGTATTTGTAACAATATTACTATGCTAAGTGGCAAAAATCAGCAAATTTGGTCAATAGTAGTTATCCATATGGATTTTTTCTAATGTTAAGTTTGAAAGTAAGAAGAAAAACTCAAAAATGAAGTGTATATATTGTAAGGAAATTTTCAGATGGGAGCCTACCATACTATTGATTTGGAACTAAACAGAAAGTTTACATTGGTGAAGGCTCACTGGGATAGTGTTGCTTTGGACAGACTAGGTAAGAAATTTTTTCTTTACAAGTAAATCAGCTGATAGTTTGGATTAAAAACAATACAGTGACTCAATATTTGATTAGATAGAAGAAACTAAAGAAACATAGTATTGTGACTCAGTATTAGACTAGAGATAAAAAATTATAAAAACACCATAGTGGCTTGATATTTCACTGCAAAGAAAAAAAATCATAATATAATGTTAATATTTGACAAGAGAAAAGAAATAAAAACTAGCATTAAAATACATGCTCTGTTGTGGGATTTGAAGGTTCGCTTACAATTCGTACTAAAAAACAAATCTTGTCAGGACACCCAAAAGTGGTACCTGAGCCAAGTTTGGGCCCAGTAACTTGTGAGTGGGGTTACAAACATAGTTTCAAACACGGTGGCTAGGAATACAACATTTGATGCTAGATTTAGGTTCAGTTACCCTGAAAACCTACTCTTAGACCCTGTTATACTTTGGTGTTACAAATAAAATAAGGGTGTGATGGCTATCCTGAGTCCACCTACCAAGTTTTCTCTTCCTTGCTTTGAGAGTTCATGGACACAACTTCACAAGCATACTTTGTAAATTAATATAAGATAATGTGGTACCTTAATATTTGACCTCAAAAAACACACAAAAAAGTGACTCAGTATTTCACTATAGAAAAAGTAATTAAAAATGCATAATACATTGATTTAGTTTTGGACTATGGAGGAAAAACAGAAAACAAATACTATGACTATATATCTAAATACAAAGAAGATACTTAAATGAATTCAATTACTCAGATTTCAAATATGGAGTATAGTTTAAAATGATAGAAAAAGACTTAGAATTGGCTCCAGAGAAAATGAAAAAACCTTAAACATTTAATATGTATTTCCTTGACTTAAAATGACAATTCTTTTATACCAGCTCATGAACCTTAATAATTATTATTTTTATAAGGTATGCCATATAATTTTTCCTAAAATAAACACAAGTATTGTCTCCATAATGTACAATTGTGTTCTTAAGGTATGACATGTAATTCTTTCTAATAGTCCCTGGAATCGGTCACAAATATATTTCTGACTGACTACAATTTCATCAGAGTCAATTTTTTTTTCATCTGTATTTTTGAACTTATTTGTTACCCATTGCTTGTTGAACAGAATATGCCACAAGATATTTGGTTTCTATTCTCAGAAATAGAAAGCAATCAACAGTAGAGAAGCAGTGGGAGTGTTAATGAAAAAGTATAAATAATATTATTATTAAAATAGGGAGCCCAGCATGGCCAGGTGGGTAGGACGCTCGACTCGCAATCTGCGGGTAGCGGGTTCGCATCCCCATCCCACCAAACATGCTCGCCCTTTTAGCCGTGGGGGCGTTCTAATGTGACGGTCAATCCCACTATTCGTTGGTAAAAGAGTAGCCCAAGAGTTGGCAGTGGGTGGTGATGACTAGCTGCCTTCCCTCTAGTCTTACACTGCTAAATTAGGGGGATGGTTGGCGTCAGGAAGGGCATCCAGCCGTAAAAACCCTGCCAACACCAAATAAAAATAGCGACCCCGTATAGATACGGGAAAAAGCTACAGAAGAAGAATATTATTAAAATAAGAATATGACAGCACCATTAAGAAGTGGGGACTGGTTGGTGACTGCATGGTAAAGGTGCACATGCTTGTACAAAACAGGAATGTTTCTATCCCTGCAATAGGTATGACTCACTAAATAAAGATAGCATTAAGTTTTCAGGAACTATAGTGTTGCACTAGATAAAATTCATGTGTGTGAAACTGATCAACAACATAATCAAATACCAAACAACATCAACATATTTTTATTTCACTGCAATAAAAAAAGAAAACTGACTAAACAAAAATGACGATGGCTCACTCAAAACAAGTTTTTACTTTACATGTGTAGAAAATAGTTTGTAATTGTCATGAATGAAAAGAACTGTTTAAATTTCTCAGAGACATGGACGATATCCTGCCATTAAACACGAAACTGGTGTTGGAAAACGTGACCACAAATGGCACAGCAGATGCATTCTGTGACAAGATTCACCGAGCAGCACCAGTAAGTGGTGAATTGCTACATTTTTTCCAGTAGAGCTAACTGTTTCTACGTTCTTCTGAAAAAGGAGTATAAGTCATATAAGACTGTACTTCAAATGCAAGTTGCTCTTCCATCATCTTGGTTTGTGACTGCTAGAGCTGTTAACTTTTTCTTCTTTGGCATCAAACTGGAAGCTATCAGAACTGCTACATGAAGCCATCGTGGATACAACTGTGCAATCCCAAGCTGCAGGCTGATGTTCTTCAGATGGAGGAGTGATTAGTTGCTTCTCTTTTTCCTTAACAATCCAAGTTATCAAGTCTGTTTACTCTTTTAGGAAACTGTTAATACAGCTCTTTGTATTAGCATAAAAATGTGAAACTAGTTTCACTTGATTACACAAAGGGAAGTAGTCGTCAAGCATGTGAATAATACTTGTTTCAGAGCTTTAATGCCCTCATAATCATCTGAATACACACCTTAAACATTTTTCTTATCTTATGAGTGTAATGTATGACAATGTAGCAGCTTTTTTGCTATGAGGTCACTAAAATGTTGAAAATGTTTAATGAATATGCATAGTTTTCATGCATTCCAGCTCAAAGGTAGAGAAGCATACATTATCAGACCAAATTTATTTCAGAACGCTGTTCACTTCCCTCTTAAAGCATTGCCTAACTAGAGTTTCAGCAAGTAGGTATTTTCTGCTGTAAGCAATGTCTTTTTGTCATCTGTGGTATGTCTGCTTGGTGGTCTTCAGTAGGAATTTGCTGAACAGGCTCTTCCACTTTCAATGGAAAATCAACATCCACGCTTCATACGGGTTTTCGAAAAGTCATGGAAAATGAAAATTTTTTCCTGTTAGTATTATAAACTAGTGTTTTCCTAATTTATTTATTTGATGATTACATCATATAATATCCAATGGCAATGATCTTCTGAGTGAGCCCTTTGTGTTTTCCCTCAGTGACGAGCATGCACTGCACGTGTGCATACATGAATGGCAACTTGAATTACTTCAACTGTACAAGGCTGAATGAGGCCATCAATGTCTGAGCCACATCATTCAAGTAATTGCGTAATCACAATTTTTCCGTTTTTTCCATTATTTTTATATTCTGTGGTATTAACTTGAATATGTCTGTGCATAAAACATGCTGGGCAAATGTATATTTAACAATGCATGGCTTCTGAAGGACGAGTACAAGGAATGACTTGTTACAGGTGCACATTGCCAACTAAGTGAATAATATTCCTAAGTTAAATTTAATATAAAAGAGAATTGGCCAAACTTCATCGATTTAAATGCCTTTGGATGATTCACTTCTTTTCATCTAGGTGTCAGCACCTCATTATGCAATTTATTCATTACAAGCAAACTGTATTCAAATGAAGAAAAGAGGAAAGCTGAGGTTTTATGGGTCCTCAAAACCATTGTTAGTCAGCATGGTTACAACAGATGTGAAGACATAAATGAACTGTTTAAAAACATGTTCCCAGATAGTAAAATCACATCCAATTTCTCTTGTGGAGAGAAAATTTGCATATGGGGCTTGTTTTCAATTGGCCCCATATATATTAAGTCAAATTTGTATCAAAAGTTTGGAAAAGATACAGACTTTGTGCTCTTGCACAACAAATCCTTAAACAGTAAAAACCAAAAGGACCAACTTAATGTGTACATTTGGTACGTTTATTCAGAAAAAAATCATGTGATGACCGGATTTCTTGATTCTGCATTTTACGACCACACATGAGCTAATGATCTCTTAAGACATTTCTTACAGTTGACAAAAGAGCTTAATCTTAGTCATTTTTTGCAAATAGGGATGGATGGTCCAAACCTTAACTGGTCATTCCATGAGAAATTAGAATCAGAGTTAAAAAAGTACAAATTAGGATCCATTTTTAATTGATATTGGGTCTTGTAATCTCCACACAGTCCATAGAGTTCTTCGTACTTCTTTCAATGCCTCTGATTGGGATTTAGAAACAATACTTAAATCAGTTTACTGCCTATTCAAAGGTTCTCCATCCAAATGGGAAGACATTGATAAAATTACTGGGTCCCACATATATACACTGAAATTTTATTTTACCTTATGGGTAAAGAATGCACCTGTTGCACAAAGGGCAGTTGAAGTTATTCTGAATTTCCAAACATACATAAAAACAATTGAAGCCAAATCAAACTTTTACACAGTACCAAAAAGACAAACATTTAATACTGTGAAATTTGCAACAAATGATATCCTTTCCATAACAAAGTTATCATTTTATGTTTTGATATCTGAAGAATTCTTTCCATTTCTGATGAAATATCAGACTGATCACCCTGTACTACTTTTTTGTCAGCTGTAGTCTTGAGTATATTATCAGAAGGGTTGTAAAACATGATGTGCTATCCAAAGCAGACACTGCATTTAAATTGTTGAAAATTTACTTAAGCAATACCGAAAACATTAAATTGGCTAAGCATGGTTTTTGTGCAATGGAAAATATGAAAGTATTGATTGCTACAGAAAAGGAAACTCCAAGAGAAGAGCTTGCATAACGCAATGAGTGTTTGTCTGTTTTAATTGGTTTAACTGAGAAATTGCTAGTGAAGTGTTCATTGAAATATTCATTTACTCATAATTTCATCTGATTTTCTCTAAAAATGGCCTCAAATGCAATGAATAGTAAGGCTCATTTTCAGCATGTACTGTCCACTCTTGCCAACTTGAAGCATCTCAAAGCAGAAGGATGTGATCGCTTAATCAGACAGTATGACTTGTTTTTATCTGAGGTTGTGAAGCCAAATTCTTGCATCTTCAAGGATTTTGACCTCGAAACCAGTAAGCTGGACTGCTTTTTATTCAAACACATGCCCTAGATTATGAGTCCTTATGGCATGTTGTCAGACTCATCTTGATACTCTCTCATGACCAAGCAACTGATTGAAGAGGGCTTTTCTGTGAATACTTC